ATATTATTGATTGTTTAAGTATTTTGTTTTGTTGTTTAATTATAAAATTTAAATATTTCTATAATAGTTTTTGTTAATTTGCATTTTTATTGAAGTGTTTTGTGAAATTTTTAATGTCAGTTTTCTTGAATGATATGTCTTAATTTGTTAAGATTTCTATGATTTTGTAATTAAACAGTAAGTTTAATAAACAACAAATATACACATTTTAATTGAATACATTGTTGTGAAAAACGCTACAATTCAACATGTTTATTAGAGTTATAGACAACATTGATCGGTCTTTTTCACTTTTGCGCTTTAAACAATGTTGCCACCTTTTAAGTAAAATGCTGTGATTAACTAATGCAAACTAAAACTATACGTTATATTTCGTATCCTAGACTATAGACTAGACTATAGACTAGACTATAGACTAGACTATAGACTAGACATAGACTAGACATAGACTAGACTATAGACTAGACTATAGACTAGACTATAGACTAGACTATAGACTAGACTATAGACTAGACTATAGACTAGACTATAGACTAGACTATAGAATAGACTGTAGACTGGACTATAGAATAGACTATAGACTAGACTATAGACTAGACTATAGACTAGACTATAGACTAGACTATAGACTAGACTATAGACTAGACTATAGACTAGAATATAGACTAGACTATAGACTGGACTATAGACTAGACTATAGACTAGACTATAGACTAGACTATAGACTAGACTATAGACTAGACTATAGACTAGACTATAGACTAGACTATAGACTAGACTATAGACTAGACTATAGACTAGACTATAGACTAGACTATAGACTAGACTATAGACTAGACTATAGACTAGACTATAGACTAGACTATAGACTAGACTATAGACTAGACTATAGACTAGACTATAGACTAGACTATAGACTAGACTATAGACTAGACTATAGACTAGACTATAGACTAGACTATAGACTGGACTATAGACTAGACTATAGACTAGACTATAGACTAGACTATAGACTAGACTATAGACTAGACTATAGACTAGACTATAGACTAGACTATAGACTAGACTATAGACTAGACTATAGACTAGACTATAGACTAGACTATAGACTAGACTATAGACTAGACTATAGACTAGACTATAGACTAGACTATAGACTAGACTATAGACTAGACTATAGACTAGACTATAGACTAGACTATAGACTAGACTATAGACTAGACTATAGACTAGACTATAGACTAGACTATAGACTAGACTAGACTAGAATATAGACTAGACTATAGACTGGATTATAGAATAGACTGTAGACTGGACTATAGAATAGACTGTAGACTGGACTATTGACTAGACTAGACTATTTACCAGACTATAGACTAGACTATATACTATAGACTAGACTATAGACTAGACTATAGACTAGACTAAGACTAGACTATAGACTAGACTATAGACTAGACTATAAACTAGACTATAGACTAGACTATAGACTAGACTATAGACTAGACTATAGACTAGACTATAGACTAGACTATAGTCTAGACTAGACTATAGACTAGACTATAGACTAGACTATAGACTAGACTATAGACTAGACTATAGACTAGACTAGACTATAGACTAGACTATAGACTAGACTAGACTATAGACTAGACTATAGACTAGACTAGACTATAGACTAGACTATAGACTAGACTAGACTATAGACTAGACTATAGACTAGACTAGACTATAGACTAGACTATAGACTAGACTATAGACTAGACTATAGACTAGACTATAGACTAGACTATAGACTAGACTATAGACTAGACTAGACTATAGACTAGACTATAGACTAGACTAGACTATAGACTAGACTATAGACTAGACTAGACTATAGACTAGACTATAGACTAGACTATAGACTAGACTAGACTATAGACTAGACTATAGACTAGACTAGACTATAGACTAGACTATAGACTAGACTATAGACTAGACTAGACTATAGACTAGACTATAGACTAGACTATAGACTAGACTAGACTATAGACTAGACTATAGACTAGACTAGACTATAGACTAGACTATAGACTAGACTATAGACTAGACTATAGACTAGACTATAGACTAGACTATAGACTAGACTAGACTATAGACTAGACTATAGACTAGACTAGACTATAGACTAGACTATAGACTAGACTAGACTATAGACTAGACTAGACTATAGACTAGACTAGACTATAGACTAGACTATAGACTAGACTAGACTATAGACTAGACTATAGACTAGACTAGACTATAGACTAGACTATAGACTAGACTATAGACTAGACTATAGACTAGACTATAGACTAGACTATAGACTAGACTAGACTATAGACTAGACTATAGACTAGACTAGACTATAGACTAGACTATAGACTAGACTAGACTATAGACTAGACTATAGACTAGACTAGACTATAGACTAGACTATAGACTAGACTAGATAGACTATAGACTAGACTATAGACTAGACTATAGACTAGACTAGACTAGACTATAGACTAGACTATAGACTAGACTATAGACTAGACTATAGACTAGACTAGACTAGACTAGACTATAGACTAGACTATAGACTAGACTATAGACTAGACTATAGACTAGACTATAGACTAGACTATAGACTTGACTATAGACTAGAGACTAGACTATAGACTAGACTATAGACTAGACTATAGACTAGACTATAGACTAGACTATAGACTAGACTATAGACTAGACTATAGACTAGACTATAGACTAGACTATAGACTAGACTATAGACTAGACTATAGACTAGACTATAGACTAGACTATAGACTAGACTATAGACTAGACTATAGACTAGACTATAGACTAGATAGACTAGACTATAGACTAGACTATAGACTAGACTATAGACTAGACTATAGACTAGACTATAGACTAGACTAGACTATAGACTAGACTATAGACTAGACTATAGACTAGACTATAGACTAGACTATAGACGACTATAGACTAGACTATAGACTAGACTATAGACTAGACTATAGACTAGACTATAGACTAGACTATAGACTAGACTATAGACTAGACTATAGACTAGACTATAGACTAGACTATAGACTAGACTATAGACTAGACTATAGACTAGACTATAGACTAGACTATAGACTAGACTATAGACTAGACTATAGACTAGACTATAGACTAGACTATAGACTAGACTATAGACTAGACTATAGACTAGACTATAGACTAGACTATAGACTAGACTATAGACTAGACTATAGACTAGACTATAGACTAGACTATAGACTAGACAATAGACTATACTATAGACTAGACAATAGACTATACTATAGACTAGACTAAAATTAAATTATAAACAATTTTTAATTATTTCAAAAGTTGTGTGAATGTTAATGACCTTTAATACAATGTAATAAACGTTGTCTGTAATATGACTGAACCGTATAGACATTTTTCTTAGTAATAAATTAAAAATATACAAAAATTATGAAGTCATTAGTGAAAATTTCTAACCATGACTTGCTTAAACCAAAAGGGCAGGGTTAAAAACGAAAATAATTGCAAAAATTATTTCATAAATTAAAATTATTATTAGAAATTATTCACAAATTATACAATAAAGGGGAATTTTATTTTCCATGCATTAGTAACAACACTTCTGTCTCTCAATGTCACCTCTTTTCACAGTTAATAGCTCTTTGATGTTTGCGGCAATATTGCCACATTACTTTCGGTTTAATAAAAATCGCTGAAAATATTAACCTATTAGTGATTTTCTTTATAAATTACTTATTTATTGCAAATTTTAAACTTAAATATTATTTCAAAATTAAACAATTCATAATTACAGCTGACCCTACTAAAAGAATTAGTAATTTTACTTGCCGCCAAAGTAATAATAATTTAAATATGTATTTATATTATTTATTTGTTTTGCTTTGTATGTCTGTCAGTTGTCATACTAATTTCAATGTTATTGACAATTTTTTTTAAATGTCGACAAATATTGTATATGACACGCATTATTAAAATTATGACAACAATGTGTTAAATGTTATTCCCCAAATATGTCTCATACATATATTTAATGAAATAAATTTTAAATTAAACCCCAAATGGCAATAAAAATATTTAATGCTGGGAAACAAATCTACAGACAAGAATAATACTGAAAACCTTGTTCTTTGTGAGATCCTCTAAGAAACTTAACTAAATGCTTTGGTTTTATTTTACACATTTAAGGGTTAAATACATTATTATGGTGTCACAAATTAGTCAGATTATTATTTATGTAGTAGTTTTAAAAACAAATTGTAGACACTTTTGCAAAACAAATGTTTAATAATAAATAATAGATATGAGTCAGTTTTGAATAAAGTTATGGATTTTATTTACATATTAAACTATCTATCTATCTATCTATCTATCTATCTATCTATCTATCTATCTATCTATCTATCTATCTATCTATCTATCTATCTATCTATCTATCTATCTATCTATCTATCTATCTATCTATCTATCTATCTATCTATCTATCTATCTATCTATCTATCTATCTATCTATCTATCTATCTATCTATCTATCCAATTTCCAGTGTTATATTGATATGGCAACCTCTTCCCATTGTTTACATTTTAGCGTTAGATGACAGGCAATTTAAATTAAATTTAGAGGTTTATTAAAAACAAACTCAACTTTAAACGTTTTCTTAATCGCATATATAATAAATAAAAGATTAATTTTAAATCTTTACAATCACCTGTTTCTAAAAATCAAAAAGTAACTAGATTTTGAATAAAATAAAGTGTTAAACAGAGATTCCAAAGAAAACAAAAGATTACAGAACAAGTTAAATTAGTTTAATTATATTATTTTTCTTATTTCAATTTACAGATAACTTGAAAACAAAATAAAATAAATTATAAACAAATTAAATAAAACAAAAGCTGACAAGTTTCTTTAAACAGCAGAACATAATTCAAATACAAATAAAAATTAACACAGTATTTAATTAAAAAAATACAAAAAGAAATCACTGAAATTATCTTAAAGATAATAAAGAGAGGAACAAACAAAAAAAGTAAACAAATGTCGTTCAAAAGAAGATAACAGACAAATATATTATAAATAAGTGTAAAATAAATCTTTTTTGTGTTAAAGTGTAAAATAAACAAACCCTAAAAACAGCAAAAAATTAGGCAGCAGAAAAAATCGCTTGAAAACCAAGAAAGAAAAAACACCGTTAAAAAACATAATAATTCCCCCGCCCTATACTCACACATTAAACCAAACCAATGGCCACAAATTGCGAATATATTGAGGAAAATTTAAAGCAACAGCAAAAATGTGGCATTTCCAAATCGGCCTCCTTATCGAGTATGACACACGAGGAGAAACAGGATAGCACCGAGAAATCCCCTAGTAAATCCTCATTTTCCGATACCTCCTCGGAAGTGGGCAGTACTAGTGGTGGTGGAGGAGGTGGTAGTGGGCAGAGCCCCAGTACTTTGCAAAAATCTAAAAAATTACAAAATAATGGACATTTACCCATTGTACCCTCCATAGGAGATTGTGTTTTTGAACATGCTTTTGAAAAGTCTATGGATGATTTGGAACATGGTGGCAATGATGGCTATGAAACCGATTCGGAGACTTCATTGAATGGAGATCATGAAGAAGAACCGTTTAAAGAATTAACCAGCAGTAACAGTGAAAATTTAACCTGTTCTACTGGTTTAGGTTCGGGTCCTCTAAGAACCTTTCCCAAATCGAATTCTTTTGAATATCACAGCAGTAGTACCGATTCGGATGAAGATGCTGAGGATGGTATTATTCATGCGGCCATAAATATGTCTCCGAAATTCTGTAATTCTGATATATTTCAAATGCGTCCTTACCTCATGCCTTTTATAGAGCGCAGACGTTTGTCTCAGTGCAAAGAGGAGGAGGATGAAGATGAGGCTGATAAATCACCACAACCCCAGGGGGATCAACCTCCCAAATATGAAAAGGCTATACCTGCTCCCCCACCACCGCCACCTGCTAAAGACAAAGCCTCAGCTGAGAAATTTAAAGATTTGGAGCGTTTAAGGCAACAATTTATGCATAAAATTGATAGTATCAATACCAGCAATGTGGATGATATTAAAACGGTGACTGTTACCCCCGGAAATGTCTTCCCCACCGCCTCCACCGCCCATACCACCCACTATATTACCACCAGCCTTAATAAATCTACTCGAATCGGCCAAATCCACCACATCCGCGAAAACAGCAACAACTACTGCTTCCTCTATACCAACCACCCCTGTTAATACCAGCAAACAGCAACCACGTTCCCCTAGTCCTGAGACCCTTATTATCAAGGGAAAATTTACAGTAACCAAAGCCCAAGAAACACCCGAACTACAACAATTACGTAATGAAGCCGATAAACTTAAACATTTAGACTCGTCCGCCAATGCCCACACCATCAGTTTTCCCAGCAGTTTTGGTGGTTATTCCTCCGTGCAGGGTCTATTCTCTCAACGCTATGGCAGTAATAAATATTCGCCAGTTACCCCCCATTTATCTAAGAAATTCTTTGATTCTTCTCTCGTCGAAATACGTACACCCACCGAAAGTACTTCGTCGCTAAATAAATTAAATTTAGATGCGGCCTCTAAAACGGGGACTAACTGTGATAATAGTATTAATATCTCTGCCACTCCACCTGCAACAAGAACCACCTCAGGTACATTGGTTCCCGGTAAGAAGCCCGAATATCGTGAGTATCCTCATTTGGATGATGTTTGGATAAAGAGATCTTCGGATTCGACACCAACTTCGTCTATCACTTCGGCCACTAGCAGCACTTTACCAAAGAAACAGTACTATACCACAGATGAGAGTGCGGCTGAGAGTGGTCTTACTACGGCTGTTCAATCGGAAGATGTAAGTTTTTATTTTATTTAAAGGTACTTTTTACCTTTTTAAGATCGGGGGGAATTTACAGTCTTTACTAGAACATTGTCTTTACTATGTATATTCTAAAGAATAATCTGCACCAAAAACTACGCTAGTAGTCTATAGTCTAGTTTATAGTCTAGACTATGGTCTGGTATAATAAAAACTATAGTCTAGTCTATAGTCTAGTCTATAGTCTAGTCTATAGTCTGTCTATAGTCTAGTCTATAGTCTTGTCTATAGTCTAGTCTAGTCTATGTCTAGTCTATAGTCTAGTCTATAGTCTAGTCTATAGTCTAGTCTATAGTCTAGTCTATAGTCTAGTCTATAGTCTAGTCTATAGTCTAGTCTATAGTCTAGTCTATAGTCTAGTCTATAGTCTAGTCTATAGTCTAGTCTATAGTCTAGTCTATAGTCTAGTCTATAGTCTAGTCTATAGTCTAGTCTATAGTCCAGTCTATAGTCTAGTCTATAGTCTAGTCTATAGTCTAGTCTATAGTCTAGTCTATAGTCTAGTCTACAGTCTAGTCTATAGTCTAGTCTATAGTCCAGTCTATAGTCTAGTCTATAGTCTAGTCTATAGTCTAGTCTATAGTCTAGTCTATAGTCCAGTCTATAGTCTAGTCTATAGTCTAGTCTATAGCGTCTATAGTCTAGTCTAGTCTAGTCTATAGTCTAGTCTATAGTCTAGTCTATAGTCTATAGTCTAGTCTATAGTCTAGTCTATAGTCTAGTCTATAGTCTAGTCTATAGTCTAGTCTATAGTCTAGTCTATAGTCTAGTCTATAGTCTAGTCTATAGTCTAGTCTATAGTCTAGTCTATAGTCTAGTCTATAGTCTAGTCTATAGTCTAGTCTATAGTCTAGTCTATAGTCTAGTCTATAGTCTAGTCTATAGTCTAGTCTATAGTCTAGTCTATAGTCTAGTCTATAGTCTAGTCTATAGTCTAGTAGTCTATAGTCAGTCTATAGTCTAGTCTATAGTCTAGTCTATAGTCTAGTCTATAGTCCAGTCTATAGTCTAGTCTATAGTCTAGTCTATAGCCTAGTCTAGTCTATAGCCTAGTCTATAGTCTAGTCTAGTCTATAGCCTAGTCTATAGTCTAGTCTAGTCTATAGTCTAGTCTATAGTCTAGTCTATAGTCTAGTCTATAGTCTAGTCTATAGTCTAGTCTATAGTCTAGTCTATAGTCTAGTCTATAGTCTAGTCTATAGTCTAGTCTATAGTCTAGTCTATAGACTAGACTAGACTATAGACTAGACTATAGTCTAGTCTATAGTCTAGTCTATAGTCTAGACAATAGACAATAGACTAGACTATAGTCTAGTCTATAGTCTAGTCTATAGACTAGACTAGACTATAGTCTAGTCTATAGTCTAGTCTATAGTCTAGTCTATAGTCTAGTCTATAGTCTAGTCTATAGTCTAGTCTATAGTCTAGTCTATAGTCTAGTCTATAGTCTAGTCTATAGTCTAGTCTACAGTATAGTCTAGTCTATAGTCTAGTCTATAGTCTAGTCTATAGTCTAGTCTATAGTCTAGTCTATAGCTATCTATGTCTAGTCTATAGTCTAGTCTATAGTCTAGTCTATAGTCTTAGTCTATAGTCTAGTCTATAGTCTAGTCTAGAGTCTAGTCTATAGTCTAGTCTATAGTCTAGTCTACAGTCTAGTCTGCAGTCTGGACTAGAGCTTGTTCTACAATTTAGTCTGGACTATAGTCTAGTCTTGACAGTAATCTATTCTATAGTTTTTGCCTAAGTCTAGGTCATTATGTCTCAAATATTATTATTGTTTTTTAGTCGCCTCCGTTTGATTTCTTAAAGCCAAAATAATTTGGTTAAGGTCGGTTAAAATATAATTAACATAAATCAAATGAAAAAAAAAATCTTGTATTTTTCAAACACGTGATTAAGTGACACATTCAAATTGTACCCACACTATATTGTGCCTAAAACTATAGACAACTTTGCTGTTGCAGTTAAACATTTATAATAATTAATACCTAAAGAAATGTAAACAATATTCAAAACAAGTATTCAATAAACTAAAACAACAACAAAAACGCTTCATATAGCAAAACACTAAAAAAAAATGTACGTGCCTAAAAATTTAAATATTTTGTTCATTTTTTTTAATAATATTACATTTTTGCAAAATTTTTAGAAATTCTAAGGTTTTATTTAAATACTTACTTGCGGTCTTAACCAAATACAGAAACCTTTTAGTATCTTCAACCTAATTTGGTACTTTTAGTAGCAGTTTTTAAGTGCTAAAATCCCTGGTAAATAAAAAAAAGCGTTATTGACGTCAGTTTTTTACGCTGTCTGCATATTTTTTCATATAAATATGAAAAATTCATTGAAATAATTCATAAAAAAATATGAGCGTATTAAACGAAAAGAAATTATTTTCTAAAAAAAGAATGTGCTAAAAGAAATACATACTAAGTGTTTTACGGGAGACGTTTGGAAATTTTCAGTGTTGAGAGTTCAAATCAAATGTTTTTCGCTTTTGGTTTACTTTTGTTGTTTTTGTGGTAAACAAATCATTTGGTTGTTTATTAATTAAGTTTTTTTCTTTTATTTCTCTTCTTTTTTTGTTTACTTTTTGTATTATTTCTTTCGCCTGAATATTTTGTCTGTTTTAACATTTTTGCCTGCAGTTAAAACAAAAACAACAAATGATGAAAAGAAAACAATTTGTTTATTTATATATTAACCAGGTATTGCAGAATTATTGGCTAATGTTTTTATTAAAAAAAAAAAAAAACATTTTTATAAAAGAATGGAAATTTTTACGAAAATAAAATTAAGCTTTCAATACAGAAGTAAACCACGACTATAGTTTTGTCTATAGACTTGATAACTGAAACATTTTCTATAGTTTCTCGACTATCATCATGTCTTTACTATCGACTATAGTTCTATAGTCTAGACTATGGTCTGGTATATAGCCTAGACTTTAGTCTGGTCTATAGACTATAGTCTGGTCTATAGTCTCGACTAAAGTCTGGCCTATAGTCTCGACTAAAGTCGTGTATAGTGTGG